CACCTGCAGCTAAGAAGCGCGGCCGGCCGCCTGGTGCAAAGGATAAGGTACCACGGAAAAAGGCACTTCAGAGGAAAGATAGTACTCAGCCTACGCCTTAGCCTATGCCTCAGCCTACGCCTTAGCCTATGCCTCAGCCTACGCCTCAGCCTATGCCTTAGCCTATGCCTCAGCTTTGGCCTCATCCTTAAGCACAGAGGCTTAGCCGAAAGGAGCTTTTACATTAGCTTGCAGCGTATAATAAGGAAATCGAGGGGTATATTAATCAAGGTAAAGAGTAGGTATAGGCGGCGATGCTAGGGGGCCAGGCTTAATGCAAAGGAGCCGTAATAAGGTGAGGTTTTAACAGGTTTAGCATGCTTGTAGGCACGTAGGCACTTCTAGAATAGAACTTCTATTCTATACTTAGAATTAGACTTATACTTATACTACGTGAGCCTGTATATAAGCTTATACGTGAAGCTATATATAAGGCTGTATAAAATAGAGAGGCTATACAGTCTCTCTATTTTACGGCGCATTTTTTCCGATTTGTGTAGCCTTATATACGGCCTTGTGTACAGCATTACGTGTATATAGATGTATAGGTGAATGCCCGGAGGAAGCTCCGCGCTGCTCCGAGCTAATAGGAAGGCGGTGAAACGACTAGGGGGGGAGGGGGTGTGCGAATAGCGAAAAAGAGGTGTGCATGGAGGAATTAGGGGGTGTAAGATTATTAACACCCAAGACTAAATAGCTATATTTACTCTTTGTAAGAAAAAGAAGTTGTAGGCATTAAAAAGAACGCGGGATATTAGTTAGCACCTAATAAGAAGCCCTTTAACTCTAATTTATTCTTATATATTCTCTATATTAAGAAGTTAAGACAAGCTTTAATAAAATTGTAAGCACGGTCTATAATACTTTAGCAAATATAGCTGCCTATGTCGAAACACCTTATAGGGGTCTAGAGGTGCTGTTTTAATACCCTAATCTGCACCTTGCCTAACCCCCACTGCTTACGTTATCTGGCGCCGCTGTGGCTGAGTTCGGCTCAGGCCCAGCTCAGGCCCGGCTTAGCTTTGGCTTAAGTTTGCTCAGGTCTACTCAGGTCTGCTCACCCTTACTTACCTTTACTTACCCGCCGCGGCGCAGTCTTAGATATATATTACTAGAAACTGTTAAGTATTAGTAAGGGGCCTTAAATCTGTCCCGGGTTACAAATTAGCGCCCTATATAGTTTTGTAAGCCTTATAAGCTTAAGGCACTTTTTAGGAAGTATTCTCCGCCCTTATCCTTATTAGTATAGAGTATATTATTCTATAAAATAGCCAGCCTTGCTCTTACCTTCTTATTTCCTTACTTCTTTTTCCTATTTTATATAGTTGGAACCCTATATATTATAAGTATCTAGTGTAAAAAGGAAGGTCTAAAGAAAAAAGGCCTAGACTATAAAAACCTGTAGTTAATAGAGAACTTTATACTAATTTCTAAAAGTATCTAGAACTATAAAAGTTGTAGTATAAAAGTTGCTTAGCCTATTAGAAAAGAGAAGGTGGTAATAATAAAGCCCGCCTGTAATTGCTTGCAAAAAGCAATCCCTATTAATATGGCGCCCATCTAGGCCTAGATCGGCGTTCACCTTATTACTGTCTTCGTCCACCGACTTCTAGTCCATCCTGAAACATTTGGGATGTAAACATTGCGGTATATTCCTTTGTTAATCTATGAGGGCAAACACGCTTCGTGTCGGATACACTACTAATAAAGCCTGGCTACAAAACGAGACAAAAGTCTGGCTGCAAAACGAGACAAAAGTCTGGCTACAAAACGAGACAAAAGACTGGCTACAAAACGAGACAAAAGGCTGGCTACAAAGCGAGACAAAAGTCTGGCTACAAATCGAGACAAAATGCAACCTTTCACGCAAGATCACCGAAACTGGAAAGCCCCCACAATGACTGGGATGGGCTTCTCACGGCGGAGTACTAGGAACGGAGTTGCCGACGACACGAATGCGCCCAGGTGGTTGTCGAGACCTTTGCCATGTATCTCTACGGCGCTTTTCCATGAGCTGAGCGGCAAGCTGCTCACTTTGTGGCAAAGACGCAATAGCCTCTTCTGCGTCGTCTCTGCGTTGGAGCTCCTTCCGAAGCTCAGATGGCTGGTCATTATACGGTTCAGACTCTGGAGCAGTTATTAGACAATCAGTCTGACATGTTGAGAAGCAAAATGGCGTGTACCTGTCGCGGTGGTCTTTTTTAACAACCTCCGAAAGCTGTTTCCGAACCAGCTTATCTGCTTCACCAAGCTCAGCTCATAGCTGAGGTCCGGGATAGAGGCCCCTTCTTCATAGAAGCATGGCGCATACAATGAGAACGCTTCTGTATCAAACAAAAAGTCGTTGCTCAATACTACATCCACCACGAGGTCGTCCAGGACATGGAAATCGCAACGAAAAGCTGTATCAGAGTTTGCGAAAGTCCACTCCAGATCCGTGACCATTCCGCTGGTAAACGCACGAGAACCATCCGCAAATTCAAGTTCAGATCGAAGACTCTGATCTTCGAAGATGATAAGGTTGTACCGTTCTGCATAAGCTCGCGACATGAGCATGACATCAGATCCGGTATCAGGCACCGCAGTAACTGGTCGTCCATCGAGAATGCCTAGCACTCGTTCGTTCTGTGGCCCCAACAAGTGTACACTCTTTGGAGCAGCAAATGCCCGAAGCTTTGATGTGATGCGGTGAGTAAACCTCGTCAGTGTTTTAGTGAGCTTCAAAAAGTCTTTGCCGAGAATTACTGGATGAGTGCATTTTGGGAGCACCGAGAAAACCACGTCGAAGGGTGAAGACTCGCCGGCAAATTTCCATGGCACTTTCACGGATCCTACAGAGCGAGTAATTCTGCCTGAAGGTAGCAGGAAATCGAATTGGGTTGAGTAGTCGATCCTTAGCTTATTCTCATCAGCAAAGGCAAGAGACATTACGTTGCGCCCTGATCCGGTGTCTGGGAATGCTGCAACCGGTGTGTTTGCTAAAGTGCCGTATATTTCATAGTGCCGCTTGAGGTCGCGGGAGTGATTTGGTGTCTGTGGGGACGCAAGAGGATTGGCCATGCTGCGGAGGCCCCCATGCATAGAACTAAGCAGTATACTGTACGCGTCGAAAACGCTACCCAGCAACGTGCTGGGGCCGTGGTGGAAGACAGTCCAGTCGTAGATCCACTTGCCGAGCGAGTTGGCGTCAAAAACGGAGCCCAGCAACGTGATAGGCTCTTCGGTCGGATCCCAGTTCTTGTATGAGTAGCCCGTTGGAATGCCCGCTCGACGAGCGTCTTCTTCTGTTGCCCGGGGAGTCGCCTTTGGGGTTGAAGGGCGCTTCGGAGTGGACGGCTGAGGTCGACGCGAGTGAGACGCGCGACGTGGTCTCGAGCCGTGCGATGCGGACTCTGCCTTGGCGTGGAGTGGGACCTGATGGTCGTAATAGTGATCAGTATTGCCGTAGGTCTGATATCGAGCGTACGGTTCGTACGACGGCTGAGGTGGATCCGAGTGAGACGGAGGGATCGCCCGTGGACTCGGGTAAGACGGAGGGATCGTCTGAGGTCGACTCGAGTATTGAGATGCGCGACGACGTGTGTGGGTGCGGGGCGATGGGGACTCTTCTTTGGTGTAGGATCGGTTGTGATTGTAGTAATAGTGAGCCGGCGGCCTCTCCTGCGTGTACATGTTTACTGTTTACGACGAGTTAGTCTGTTTGATGGGATCAAAACGACGGGAGTTACGAACTTCCACTCGCACTTGCGGTTGAAGATTAAGGATGCTCACCCGATGTGCTTGCATATATACTAGTTTTCTGAATTCCGAGGAGGCTCTTCAGGCGTCGAATCCTCAGGCCCAATAGTTCTTCGGACCGATACCTGAGACTGGGCAACCGCCCATACGCCGACTCCTGATTGCCGAACTCAAGTCTTCATCCTAATCATCGCTGCTTGGGATGTTGATATCTCGAAGGGAAGTACGTGATGAGCATGTAGAAGGTGGGAGGCTGGGGTTAGGCAGCAACATCACACAGCTGAGCACAGCCCCGGGCAAGCATGGACGCCAAGGCCAGCTCGGCTCGTGACGATGACCACGCCTTGCAAACCAAAGAAGATATCTTCGATTAACAAAGTCAAACCTTGAGATGAAAACATGAAGGCAGTATGCAACACTCATCGTCCGCAGACATCGAGCTGGGGCGCCTCTCAAGCAGAGACCGCGACGGCTATCGAGCGGTAGCCGCCTGGATAGCGCGGGATCCCGACAACGAAACCTTCATCTACCATCGCTTTGATCAACTCAGTGCCAGAAATCTGCTATACCTTCAAAGCGAACTCCTGGCCTTAGAGCACTCTTTAGCACAACTCGATGCGCAAGCCGCAAACGCCCAAGACCTTGATTTGAAAGACTCGGCAAGGCGATGGGAAGCGTTTTCCAAGAACGCAGAAATCCGAGATGAAGAGCGTGAGAGGATGGATATAGTCATCCAAATTCGAGAGAAGATGAAAGAGTATCGTGAGACGTCCCAGGCTAGAGCTGCATTTCGAGCTCATTGCTAACAAGCGTAGACAAGGCTCTGTTGCTCCAAAGCCAGGTCGCGAGACTGGACCGACCAAGTAATCGAGTGGTGGAAGCGTTCCGCATTTGGTTTGACGGTGGCAGACCAAAGAAGGGTAATCCGAAACCTGATCCTGTTCTCGGAGGTCGCGCGAAGTATGCTCTCGACAACGAACAAGATTTAGTAGCTTTGAAGACTCCTGCGGACGACGATTTCCTCTCGCGATTCCTGCAGGATCACTGGCCTGTTACTGTAAGCTTCATTTGATCATCAGCGCTGGCTGGTTCTGCTAACGCTCTGCGAAGAGCCGTCAAACCGGTGGTGACCCAACAGGCCACTATCAAGAACGCCATGTTGTCTGGGCAGTGGCCATCATCAGCACATTGATTGCATCCGTACTACTCGTGGGAGCTATCGTGGGACTCTATGCCGTGCAACCTCCCAAGGCTCGACTTGGAATGATAGGAGGCTTCACGGCATTGTTTGCCCTCAGCGTGATTCTACTCACGAATGCGAGGCGAGCGGAGGTATTTGCAGCGACCGCAGCGCAAGTTATCTTGACCAGCAACATCTTCTCGTAAATGCTGATTCCGTCCCATAGTTACGCCGCAGTTCTCGTTGTTTTCGTCAGCGGAAACCTTGGAAGTTGAAATTCGAACGATCCTCCTCGAAGGACCTTTCCTGGTGATTTGAAGATCGGGATATCTCAAACCCTCACAGACAGCGAAGGATGGCATTAAACTTACATTAGAACCCGTAAATCTCCACGAGATCTATGAACCGAACCGTGCGTATTCTAATCCATCAATAGGGAGAAACAGGTTAGTAGAATGACGATGAGCATGACCGCAGGCGGTTCGGCGATGCCAATAGCTGGTACTATGCCAAGGATAGTCGCATGATGAAAAGACGATTCCGGGGATGAGGTTGATGGATTACTGAGGACCGAAAAGCATTTGGATCGAGCGAGCGCTTGGCAGAAATTGCATCACGTGATGTCAACATCGACATCATTTGAAGCGGAATAGATCCCATATCTCTTGGAAGCTTCTGGTATTTAAATGCTTGGCAATTCCAGTCAACCTTGGAGGCAACTTAGGTAGCAAACCTTCAACATCACCGTCAAATAAGTTCCAACTGCCCCCGTTCCCCAACCTGGTGAGACGCCTCTGTCACGACGACGATGTATCAGACATGAACGCGAGATGAACAAGCATTAGATTCAATTGATGATAGCTACGTACAGCTGTGTGATGAATCAAGAGAATTGGTGAAGAGCAGAAGCAGGGGCAGAGGCAGGTCTATGTACAGGACGGGCCGCGAGCTAGGGCTAGCAGGACCAGGGGCAAGCTACGCCACGGCGTAGCGCGTGTAACGGGCAATACCGTTACAGCCTCAGCAAATCCCACGATAAACTCCTATCCATGTAAAAATAACCCACTCTCTTATACTGCTGAAAATCCCTTAGCAAACGCTTCACCACAATGCCATGAAGCTGCTATGACCTTACCGCGGTCTTCTCTGCTTTCTCAATGGAAACAAGGGGCAAATACGCTATGCCCTCACACCTCTCAATATCCACCGGCTCATCCGGTAACACCGTGACATTCGAGCCCTTAAAATCGTACAACTGCTTGCCAAGACTCAGCGTAGCATTCAGCATGCAATCTAGAACTGGCTTCTAGTTTACCTTTTTAACCCACATCTTTTCTAGAGCTGCCCTTTAATCAGTTAATCATGTTAGGCGGCAAAGTAGAGAGGAAATATACTCTGTAGGTGTAACGTACTCCACAAGCGAGCCGACCACCCCATCAAAGGAACGCGTTCCGTTAACTTTCAACCACCATGCCTCAACAACACAACGCGCAATCATTTCAAAGCGAAGGCCGAATATGTCTAGCTATTGCAGCAATTAATAAAAATCAATTTCAAAGCGAACGACGTGCTATTGCAACATACAGTGTCTCAAGGACCACGCTCAAGGACCAACGCGCTAGAACAGCTGCTCGACGCGATTATAAGGCCAATTTAAAGAAGCTTTTAAAGCTAGAGGAATTGTGAAGGAGCAATAACTGTAAGGGCCGTAGGCCTGAAACAATAGATTGTATTAAGTACAAGAAGAATTCATTAAAGATCTAAACTGCGAATACACGCTGCCTATATACCTCATCGTCGAGAAAGTGATGCAGCCGTCCTGTCCTCCTCCGTACGGTATCGTCGTGCTGCATCATCGTGCTTGGGTTGTAATGTCGTGCTGCATCGTCGTGCCGCAATGTGAAGGAGGCTCCGTAGGAGGCTACGTGAAACGGAAAGAATGCGTGGCCAATTGAGCGGCCGTTCGAGCGGCTAGGTCGTGAGAACATGTGTTAGTATATGGTTTGATGAATCGGACAGGGTGGAACAGCCTAGCCAATTCCTAGAAATAGAGATTCAATCTTAGAATAGGTCCTAGTGACGGCTTATAAACCAGGACGGATAATATGGAATAGAAAGGATAAATTAAGGCGTTATAAATTGGACAGGGTGGAACAGCCTAGCTAGTTTTAGTATAGAATTTAGGTTCTTAGAATAGAACTAATTCTATACTAAGTTTATAAAGCCGGCAGGCTATATAAGTTAGGTAGGCTATATAAATTAGCACTGCGTTGGTTTAAATTAATATAAGGGATAAGCCGAGCCTTATAAGGTAGTTAATAAGAAGAAGCCCAGGGCGTAGCCTATAACAATACCCCTCTCCTTCCAGTAAAATTTTTTAGATAATATAGTAGAGTTGGACAGCTATAGGCCGATATTTATACTTATATTTTTTAATAGAAGTCTTCGGGTAGTATTCTATTTATATAAGGTAACCGGAGCACCTATAGTATATAGCTATAAAATAGGATGTAGATATATCCTTTCCAATTTATACAGCTTGCCTGCGCAGGCGTATAGCCTGCAAGGCCTCTGCAAGTTACGTGCTTACTTAGGCCGGGGTATATATAGCTCTAGGCTATGCATTATAATTTCTTAAGGATTTGTCTCTTAATATATAAAGTTGTTAATCCTATCTATAAGCCCCTTGCTATACACTTTTCCCTTATATTTAAATCCTTTATATTTCCTTATAGAAGGCAGCCAGCTTATACCCAACCTAATTGCTAAAATAATAAATTCCGGAGAATCCTCCTCCACCGCCCCTACTATAGGAAGACGGTCGGAACAACTTAACACAGCCGAAGCCGACCTAATTGCTTACTAGCAACTCGCAGACGGAACGCATGCGTCCCGCAACGCGCAGAAAACATTTGCTAATAATAAGGATAACCCTGGAGATAAAGGGCTAATTCTAGCCCTTCTAGAGCAGGCCTAATATTAGCTTACTAAATATATAGCTAAGTATCTGTTACAACCCGTAATACAAACCGCCCGAGCGCAGAGGCACTCGCGGAAACAAGCAGACAGATTAGGCTGATCACGAAGGACCAGGTCACGGGACCAAGGGGGTCACGTGTGGGACGCATAGGGATCCTGGATTCCCCCACGGACTGCTGGTGGATGGGAACGATCTAGAACGGTACATCACGAGGAAGAGGTCACGTGATGGCTCGAGGAGCTCGAGGCTGCGAGCCGGGACAGAGCTCGCGAGGCTCGAGGCAGCGAGCCGAACGAGCAGATAAATTTCTTAGGACGGAGCTTTTATATATAAGGACGCTCCTTTCCATAGATAGGAACCGGGTGTTCAACTTAAGACTTCAATACTACCTATTGGAAGTAACAACCCCGTCTTGTACCTGAGATTGATCTTGCCTCACCTTTTAAAGACTATTGCACCCTGACGACGACTTAACCTATACCCTGCCTTAGTATATAACACTTAGAAGGTATAGAAGAAACGACCTGTTATAGTATCCTGTAAAAGCTACTATAGCTGCAATAACTTAATAAAGTATAAGAAAAAAACGTTGTAAAAAGTTATTACTATTTTTACTTCTCCTTTATTAACTTCTTAGTCCCCCTATAATGCGCGCTGCGCGTATAGCCCCTTTTTAGATAAATAGCTTGCGCTTTATAAGGAAGCTAAATAAGTAACTATTAACTTAGCGCACCTTATAAAGTTACCTGCGCTGCTTATAGGCTTAATTACCTAAAAAAACTATAATATTTAGTATATAGCTATAAAGTCCTAGTTTAAAATTAGCGCTATTTTTATAGACAGCAACTAACGTACTTAGTAGGCCTAATAGGGCCTTAAAAACATAGTTAACCTCTATAAGAAAACCTAATATTAACTTAAAATACTTATAAATAATAGCTTACTACTTTTTTAGGCAGACTTAAGGCGTATTATATAGGACTATATCTAGAGTTTAACTATTTACTACTTTAAAACAGCTACTGTATTTTATACAGCCTTTTAGAAAAAGAACTAAAAGTTTAATTTATTTCTCTAGTATATTCTCTATATTAAGGTACTTCTGGATAATATACTATTCTATAGTAAGGCTTTTTACGTAGATTTTTTCTATAGCTATATCTATAAAACTATAAAAATTGCCCTTCTAAAGTAAGGAAACCTTAAAAAAGTTACTATAGCTAAGGATTTATTTATATATATTTATAAGGTAGAATAGATTAAGGGCCTTACTAAGGCCTTATTATCTAGATTTGCTAAGCAGGCTGCTGCTATAATATATAATAAGAAGCGTAGCTGTAGTTCTAATAGCGGCAGTAATAATACTAACTGCTATAAGGGCAACCTATTTTCTAAAGACTATTAGAAGGGTAATACTATATTACTTCCTAATAGATCTACACCCTAATAAGGCAGTACTAGCAGCGCAGGCAGCTTATAAGCGCCTTGCCAGGGCTACTAAGGTAAGGGTAAAAACTCTACTAGTAATAACTAGAAGTTAAACTAGAAATAGGGGAAGTAAGGTAACAGCAGTTTAAAAAACTAACTACTCTAATTGCTAAACTCTTCTAGTTATAGTTAGGGCCTAATACTAATAGGAATTAAAAGAGAATTATATAGTATATTATACTTAAAACCCTATAAGGGCTATAATACCTCTATACTCTCTTTAATATAGGTTGTTAACTTAACCTTATCTATTAGAACCTTATAAAATACTATAGCCTTACCGCCGCTTTATATATAAGCTATAGGCTAATAGCCACCTTTCTTAATAATAATCTAATAGAGATTTTTAACTACTACTCTCTTTTTACCCGGGTAAGAAACTTTTATTTAATTAACTGGACTATTAGTCCGCAGGTTTTCTAGAGAGCTAAGTTTACAGGATACAACCTAATTTTTAGGTAGGATTAGTTAAAGAAAGCAGATCTAATAATTAGTTTCTGTAACGGGATGTTTATCTAGAGCGAAATCTCTAAAACCTATATTTAGGTATACTTATTATAAAATCTGCTTAATAACCTAAATAAGGGCGAGGAGTTGTACTAGCTATACCCCGGCAAATTTAAATACAGCGCGGAATATAAGGTATCCTCTTCTATTTACGCATCCCCTAATTTATTCCCTAAAAAGGTTTTTACCACCTAAAGTAGTAGTAATAGGAACCTAGAACTATACCCTTTT